ATGAGAAATTGCAAACAATTTTGGAAAGATGGTGTTCTTAGTATCTACAGTAGCCTGAATCCCAGGCTATTTATAATTAACCTAGTAAAACTCAAAAAATGCACAGAAGGGCTATCGATAAAGAAAGCTAAAGAAAATCAGCTGTAAAGTTCTCCTTCCAGACTGTACAAAAACCTGCTAGAATCCTGTGGAAAATCTAAATAGGGACAAGCCAGAATGCAGGGAAGGAACCTTGGAAAATCTTTGTAGAGCCTTCTCAAGAGACAGGCCACAAATAGGTTCCAGTGCAAGGCACCTCACAAGACATATCAGGAGACAGGTCCAAGTAGAGGTCTGTGCAGGACAGCCCTGGAGTCCTAACCACAAAATGGTTAGAGCAGTTTGCAGGCAGTATGCACCTAAACCAGCATTCATGTAAGATGTTCCCAAGCTTTCATCCAGACAACCTGGGCCCAAACCATATCACAAGACAAGTCTAGAGAATTCCTGTAAAAGGTGGAACCTAGTTTTTCCCACTGCACTCAGAACCAAGCAAGGTCTGCTAATACCGTCGAAGAGTACAGAAGTAGAGTTTGACTCAAGTACAACATCAGCACAGAAACTGAGACTGGGCACTTGAGTAAAAGAGAAGAAAATGTCTAGGGCAATAAAGAATGGTACTGGACCAAAAAATACCCAAGAGTTAAACTCAGAAGAAGATAGTAATTCCAAAGCGAATCCACATAGCAACTCAGAAAAAGAGTGTTCTGGCCACTAGGACTATAAGAGTATTTGGAAGAAATGAAAACCTAGGGAGGAAATGGGAACAGTAGTAATATCTTGAACAGTGGTAAACTTTACCCAAGAATTGAATACCCTGAAAATCAGAATAAGCCAAACAGAAAACAATTCAATGAAGTAAGAAAAATTATTAAAACAAAACCAAAATATTAAAGAAAAAAATAGAAGATAATGAATATAATATAAATAATAGCTCACCTAGTAAATATGTCAAGGAGAGGTAATCTAAGAATCACCAGACTACTTGAAAATCATGACACCCCCCCAAAAAAAACTTGAATATAATATTTCAAGAAATAAACTACAACTGCCTATATCTCTTAGAACCAGAAGGCAAAGTGAAAATATAAAAAAATTCCACTGCTCACCTTGCTAAAGAAACCCCAAGTGGAAAACTCCCAGGAGCATAATAGCCAAAATCCAGACCTTTCCAAATAAAGGATAATATTGGAAACAGCCAAAAAGAAAGAATTCAAGTACCAAGGAGCCACATTCAAGATAACACAAGACTTGGCAACTGTCATCTTAAGAAGAGGAGAGGTTGGAATATGGTTTTCAAAAGGCAAAGATAAAGTTTTACAACCAAGAATAACTGAACTGAAAAAACTAAGTATAATTTTAGGGGAGATAAGGGAGAGGGTAACTGTTGTAAGTATTCATGTAAAGACTAAGAAGGCTTAGATATCACAATGTGAAACATGTTGCTAATATTTTATATCAGTTAATCAACATTTATTAAGCTCCTCTGATATTCTCTGCACTGGACATATGGTTAAAAATACGACATTCCTTATTCTCAGGGAGCTTAAATTTTGTCAGAGAAGATATTATATATATAGATGAGTATATACAGAATAAACAGTGCATAAATAAATACAGGGTAGTTTGGAGGGCACTAATTGTTGGGGGGAACAGGAAAAAAAACATCTCCTAGAAGGTAGTACTTGACCTTTGTCTTAAAGGAAGCAAATTATTCAAAGAGGCAGAAGCCAGGAGTGGGGGTAGAGCAGGATAGTGAATGTGTTCCAGGCATAGAAGATAGCCAGTAGAAAGGAGTGAAGCAAATTGGCAAATGGAGTGCTGTGTTTATGAAACAAACAGCCAATTGACTAGATCGTAGAATGAACAAAAAACAGGAAAAGATCATTAGGACCAATTTTAGAGTCAAAGGGAGGAGTTTGTAGTTGATTGTAGAGATAATAGGGAACCATTAGAGTTTTCTGAGTAAAGGCAGTGTAGACTTGTTAGAGCCTAGATCCAGAGGTAGAAGGGACCTCTGAAGCCATCTGGGCCAATCACCTTGTTTTACAAGTAAAAAAACTGGCATTTGGGTGACTTAGCCAGATTCACCCAGGCAGTAAGCGTCAGAGGTGGGATCAGACCTGCATTGACAATTGTGTGGAGGACAGATTGGACTGGGAAGAGGAGGCTTCTGCAATCATAGAGACAGAGGGTAAAGATTCGAAGTGACATGGAGCCTCTGTGTGTTATGTAGGTAGAAACAACAATAGTAATGGTAATAGGTAGCATTAGTAGTGTGCTTTAAGTTTTACAAGGCTGTTAACATATTAATTTAAAATTAAATTGGAGACAGCGAGGTGGCACAGTGAATAATTGAGTGCCATCCTGAAGTCAGGAAGATCTGAGTTCACATCTGGTCTCAGTCATTTCAACCTCTGTTTGCCTCAGTTTCCTCATCTGTAAGATGGAGGTAATAATAGCACCTACCTCCCAGGAGTATTGTGAGGATCAAATAAGATAATAATTTTAAAAGCACTTAGCGCAGTGCCTGACATAGAAAGTACAATAGATTTGTTACCTATTATTATTATTCAATTTTATCTTCATAACAACTTGGTCAGATAGATGTTATTATTATCTCTTCCTTTACAGATGAGCAAACTAAAGCTGACAGAGTTTAAATAATTTGCCCAAGGTCACATAGCTAGTAAAATTGAGGTGTCAAACTTAGGTCTTCTTGATTCCTAAGCATAATACTATCCATTGTGCCACTTGGCACTAAGGAAAAAATAGCAAAATTTGACGACTGATTGGATATGTGGAGTGTGGAAGAGTAATGAGTCCTAATCTAAGCTTGAGGTTATAGACCTTGATGACTGGAAGCACAGGGGTGCCTTTGAAGTTTGGGAGAAGTTTGGGGGGAAAAATGAGTTCTTCTGTGGACATGCTAAGTTTGCGATGTCTATGGGACATCCATTTTGAAATGTACAAGAGGCATTTGATGACGTGGGACTGGAGCTCAGGAGAGAGACTGGGGTTGATCTATAAGTCTCTAAATCATCTACACAGGTGATGATTAGATCATGAATACAGAGATATGAATAAAAGAGGGCTCTAAGAAAGTCTTGTGATATAGCCACCATTACAGAACATGACATGGGGACTGGTGTAGCAAAGAATACTGAGAAAAAAGAATGGTTAGACTGGTAGGAGTAAAACCAGAAGAGCGCATTGTCCTAGAAAGTCAGAGAGGGAAAGGCAATCAAGTGTCCAAGAGAAGATGGTCAAGAATGTCAAATTCAACAGGCAAGTCAAGAATGAGGATTTAGAAAAGACTATCAGATGCAGTCATTAATGTTAAGTCATTGGTAACTGTGTAGAAAATAGTTTCAGTTTATATGTTAAAATATTAGTTTAAAAAATGGATGTAGCAAGACTTTAGCCCATTGTCATTTAGAAGAAAAAAGAAACATATTTTTCTGCTTGTATTTTTAAATTTGGGATGGGGAGGGGATTCGGAAAAGTGGGTTTATATTCAGAGTTTCATTTGACTTAACCAAAAGTGAGATTGAACCTAGTATTATGTTTAGATTCAATTACTCCTTCATGTATTTGGGTTACATTTTCAAAATGCTACAATTAACCAAGGTGTTTAAGTGATTTGATTTCTCGTGGAGATGAGAAAGTAAATCCCATTTTGAGAAGTCAACAATAGTAATTGATATTCTAATAAATTTTATCTGCATGAATGAAACAACTTTATTTCAGCTGATTGAGATAATGAATATTTTTCCTTCTGGACTAGCGTATCAGTCAACAAATATTTATTATGTATTTATTACAAGGCAATGTTTGGAATATGAAGTACACAATCCACCTTCCAGTTGCCTCTAATCTATTTTCTAGAGACTTTTCCATTGTGAAAAAGAAGTCGAATCAGTTTTTAATTATCCAGGACATGGAAGGGAAAAGTGATACAGACAGTCTGCTAAATTATTTCTCTTTGAATTGGAATGACACTTTTCTTTTTTACTTATATTTTAATATTTTATATTCTAGCAATTAATGTACATTGGTTCAAAAGAAAATAAGGAAACCACATTCTTCAGATTTAAGTTTCTGATTTAGGAAGCTGTCCACCTTCTTCCTCTTGTCTTTTTTGCCTCTAACTCAGAATTTTGTTTATTTCCTTACTCTGTTTTAGATATGGCTATGGTGAGGGATGTAGCTGTGGTCAAGTGAGTGAATGAACAAAAGAGCAAACTAACGAATGAATGAATGAAAGAAAATGCATTTATTAAGTGCTAAGTATGTGTCGCTGTCTGGTAATAGCACTTGATCTGCTTTGAGCCAAAGTTCATATGGCAGCCCTGACATTTTGTATTGTGTGACTATCAGCAAGATACACAAATAACCTAGGACTTTGGGTTCTTATCTGTTGAATGAGTGAAAAGAGCATCAGGAAGATGGGAGAGCCCAAGATTTAGAGCTAAAAGGGACCCTAGAGGTCCCTGAGGCCAACACCCTCGTATGACAGAAGAGGTAGCAAACACCAGTCAGAATCTGAAGCCAAATTCTTAAACTAAATCCACTGTTGTGCTGCAGTGCAATGCAAGTCTATCAGAAATAGACTGTTGAGCTGATTGGATTCTATGATTTATATCGTATGATAATTGTTAATTTTTTTCCTTCTCAAGGTTGCAATTATTGTCTTAATGATGATGATTAGGAATTCTCTTACTTGAATATTAGAATTATGATTTACTATATTCAGTCTGCTGGCAGATTAACTGGGAGTAGGCTGGCTTTATTCGTCATTTGTTCTGTCATTTTTTATAGAGTAGTTAAACTTAATTTTATAGATAGACTCTCCCTAATATTTTCCCATTGAAATTCATTTGTTTCAGAATTCCTAAAAAATGAGAGTTTTGAGTTTTCTTTAGCTAAATGCCAGTTTTTTCTTCCTTTTTATGTTTTAGGCTGCAACGACTGGCAAAAGATATTATAAAGCAACTTCATATACAGGACAGTGGTTCTTGGGCAGTTAATAAGGTTTCTGCTTTGGATCGAACTCTAGGTGAAATCTCTCGTATTTTGGAAAAAGAGGTATGTAAGTTACTAGTTTCTACACGTATATACATATACACACCTATCACTGCTGTTTTAGGTTTGGTTAAAATGAAAAATAAAGTTGGATTCTGTGACATGATATTGCAGTTCAGATGAAGACCTTTTCATATGGAAACTGGAGCATCTCTCTTTGGGGATGTTTTCAGAGGGATTATTCTTTGACCTTGGAAATGCTGTGATTGTTGAAAAGGCTGTCCACTTCAGATGATTGCAGATTTTCCCAGTTCTTTTCTTCCTCAGATAGTAAGGGATCAAACTATGACATGTTGAAGAAACTAGAGATCTCTCTCTTTTTCTGTCTCTCTTTCTGTCTCTGTGTCACTCTGTACAAATCTGTGTGAAAGGCCATCATGTATAGCAGGTATACGATTTGTTTAATGAGACCCTGACAGTCAGAATTAGGAAGAAAAATGTGTGGAAATTACAGGAAGGCAGATTTCAACTCAATGCATCATCCTAACAATCAGAGCTTTTCAGCAGCAAAATAGATGACCCAGAGAAAGTTCTCAACTAGGAAAGGAGATAGCAAGGTGATAGAGTAGATGGAAGTCTGGGCCTAAAGTCAGAAAAATTGGAGTTCAAATCTGCCTCAAACATTTACTGTCTATGTGACCTCAGGAAGTTGCTTAACCTCAGTCTGCCTCAGTTTCCTCCACTGTGAAATAAGTATAATAATAGCAACTACCTCACAGTGTTGTTGTGAGGATCAAGTGAGATAAGATTCGTAAAACACCTAGCACAATGCCTGACACATATAGATGCTGATTTCCTTCCTCTTTCCCCCCCTTCCAATGACTTGAAGTTTTTAATCAGAGGCTGGTTGACTTGTTCTCAAGAATGTTGTAGAGTATATAGTTATGCTTTGAAGTGTGGGTTAGACAAGATGGGTTAGACAAGGGTAGGCCTTTGAGATCCATTTCAATCTTGAGATTCTATTACTTTTTTATTGGAAATTCTCTTAGGAATGATTTTTTTAAAAATACAGTGTGGTACTTTTAACCATATATAAGCAGAATGTACTTTTTCCTACAGTAAGAATTAAGAGGGGCAGCTAGGTGACGCAGTGGATAGAGCGCCGGCCCTGAAGTCAGGAGGACCTGAGTTCAAACCCGGCTTCAAACCAAACACTTGACACTTGCTAGCTGTGTGACCCTGGGCAACTCACTTGGCCCTAATTGCCTTAATTTAATAAAAAAAAAAAGAATTAAGAGTAGCATAATGTATTATAGCTCTGAGTAAATGTTGAGAGTATAGTAACCTAGATTAATCAGTGAGTTAGTCAGCATTTAATAAGTATCTACTATATGTTAGGCACAATGCACAGGGAATTTTTTAAAAAGTCCCTGCTCTCAGTCTAATGAGGGAGACAGCATGCAAACAAATATGTACAAATGAAATACGTGCAAGATAAATTGGAGATAATTGACAGAAGGAAGGGACGGAATTAAGGGGTATAGAGAAGGCATCTTTTAGAAGGTGAAACTTTGGCTGGGACATGAAAGAAGATTGAAAATAAGTGAGAGAGTGGGGATGAAAGAGGGGGCACTCTGCTGGAGAAGACAGGATAGCATAAGGTCACTTGTGCATATACAGGAATTTATCTTGGCCTGGAAAGGGGCCACCTCTCATGTTGTTGTTTGTCCTTCATTCTGGAAGGGGACTATTAACATTCACTTGACTTGTAAATAAATTGGATTTAAGTGAGGCAGGGCTGTACAAAGTCAGCTGGGATGAATAGGGATGAAGGAGGAGATAACAACCTTAGGCATCCTAAGTTAATGAGAGATGAAGGAGCTTTCTACAAATGGCTTCCATTTTTCCAGTGAAATATAAAGCAAAATTTTTAACTAAGAGGACATATAGAGGGGAAGCCATGGGAGGTTTGAGAAGGAATGGAAGAGTTTGGAAGAGCAAGTTAATTAGATAGGTGTAGACGGGTCACCATTCTGCAGTAAGGACTCATTTGAGATGAATGTGACATACATTTCTAGTGTACTTAGTCAGTATGGCTTCATGATTTTCTTCATCTCTGTTCAGCAGTACCTAAACAGGAGCACTGGCAGCAGTTGGTGGAAGAGAGCAAGAGCTTTGGTAAAATAAGGGTTCAAAGGACTTGAGACATGAGGTCTGTGTAGAGTTGGACTGGCTCACCAAGGGTTCAAGACAAGAGAAGGGACAGCAGTGGGGCCAGTGCAGGATGATGGCCTGGGCAAAAAACAAAACAGAACTGTTGGGTGGAGGGGTTAGAAGTTAAGATAAAGGAGGAAGAACCAGTTAGTGGTTGTAGTGGATGGGGAAAGGTCATGATGACAGCTGTCTGGTTACAATCTGATAAAGGAATTTCAAAGATCATGAATATGGATGTGATACATTTGTGGGTATGATCTAAGTGTGGCCATCCCTATGTGGAGAAGAGGTGGAGTTGGCTATGGCCAATGAGAGGTTAGGGTGCTGGAATCCATATTATTATGTATTTTGAACCACAACTAAAAATGCTGACTAAGTGGTTCTCCTAAAAACTTAGAGATAAGTCATTGTTTTTAAGCACACACAACAATAAGAGATCAACTAATTTATATACTATTAACATAGGACTTCCAAGAGGATATACAGGAATATCTGAACTTTGTATCTTCCCAAGCACCTAGAATAGTGATCTGGAGACAGTAGGTACTTAATAAATGTTGGCTGAATATTGGGTGCTGATTCTATGTACTCCAGCAAGAGCCAACCCTAATTCTGAGGCAGCTCTGACCATATGAGCTGTTGCTATCAAACAACAGACAAGCATTTATTTAAACACCTACTATAATTCCAAGTATTTGCTGTGCTAGGTCCAGAGAATATTTTTTTAAACCAAATGGGTATATTGGATATATTGAAGTATCTTTATAAAACCTACTTCATTTGTTAATGTCATCTACTGAAATATACTAGGACTTTTTTATTAATACTATATTAAAGAGTAGAATTTTACATAAGTTCATGGAATATTAACAGCCCCTATTTACACAGAATTTAAAATGTATCAAGCACTTCCTTCTAACAGTGCTGTTAGAAAGGTAATGCACTTCTGATACAACTCTTACAGGACCATGCTTGAACTTTTTTCTTAATCCTTGATTACTTGCTCCTGTGTATTTTTTAATGTATGTATATGTGTATGTATATAGAAAGGTAGATAGAGAGATTCTCTTCGCTTTCTGATGGATGGCAAGTCAGTCAGAAAGCATTAATTAAGCGCTTTCTGTGTGGTGAGTATTAGATCACTCTGCTAAATTCTGGGGCCACAGAGAAAGGCAAAAATCATAGTTTCTGCTCTCAAGGAGCTAAAATTCAATGGTAGAAACTATATGCAAATGACTGTACACACAACATATATCTAGTGCAAATGGAGGGCTTCCAGCAGAAGGTGAACTTTGAGTTGTCTCAAAGGAAGCCAGGGAAGTCAAGAGGTGTAGGTGAGGAAGAAGGACATTCCAGGCATGGGAAGAAACAGTGAAAAGAGTCAGGAGCCAATATTGATGCGTCATGGAATAGTAGGTAGAAGGGGAGTAAAGTGTAAGAAGACTAGAAAGGTAAGAAGGGGCCAAGTTATGGAGGGCTTTAGAAACCTGACAGAGGACTTTACGTTGATCCTGGAGATAATGGGGATCCATAGGAATTGAGTAAGGAGGTGACATGGTCAGGCCTATGTTTTAGGAAAATCCTTTTGACAGCTGAGTGGAGAACAGACTGGAATGGGGAGAAACTCAAGTCATGGTGTGTGGAACAGCGACGCTAACCCAAATTAATCTCAGAGACTTCTCAAGGTGGAAAGCAAAGGTTACCTTTATTACAATCTCCCGAGATGGCTGTCTGCTCCTTTGATACATGTGGAGAGAGAGAGAGTCCAAGTAACAGCGGCCGCCTTATAAAAGCAAATCTCTGCCCACCATGCAAAGTCTCCACCCACTACGCAAACAAGTCTCTACCCACCACTATCCCTTACCCCCTTAATTGAGGGTGGGCTTACATTCTAACTCGGAGATGGGGCTTACATTCCAGGCCCAAAATTCAAAGACAAGGAAAGAGGCAGGAAGCCAAGGCCAAAAGGCTCAGGTTGGGGGCGGAGTAGGGCTTATTCTTTCTGTTACGTGCTTAAAAACAGGGTCTGAGGGGGGGAAGATTTTGAAAATAATAATTTAAAAATTTTTGGCTTTTTGAGGAGGCTTCACCTCTGAGAGTTCATCTCTCACAATGGAAACAAAGTAGAGAACTGTTGCAGACTATTGCAACTAGGTATTGGGGGTTTGTACCAGAGTGGTAGCTGTATGAGCAGAGAGTGGGTACATACAGAAGACATGTTGTAAAGGTAAAAACCATAAGATTTGAAAACACTTTGAACATGTGGAGTAAATGTAAGTTAGGACACCTAGTCTGAGACCCTGAGTGGTTGATGACATGGTGGTATCTGAAGGAGGAGAGAAGGTTTTTTGGGGAAAGATAATGAGCTTTGTTTTGGAGATAATGGAACATCCAGTTTAAGATTCCAAAAGGCAGCTGATGATGGGTGGTAGAAGCTGTAGTTCAAGAGAAAGAGATTAGGGCTACTTATAGAGGTCTGGGAGTCATTTGTATAGAGATCATAATTGAACTGATAGGAGCTGGTGAGATAGCCAAGCAAGTTAATATACAGAGAGAAAGGAAAAAATACCCAGGATAGAGTTTTGGGGTATAGAGGAAAGGACATTGACAAGGAGTGGTCAGACAGGTAGAAGAAGCAGCAGAGAGGAGTGTCTCACAAAACTGGAAAGTATGCAGCATTAAAGTCTGCAGAGAGATCAAGAAGGATTAGGTTTGAGAGATTTGCTTGCTAATTAAAAGATCCTTGGTGACTTCTCACTCAGTTCTGCTCAAGTGAGAGGAGAGACATAGAGGCAGCTTGCACAGAGAGATTACTCAAGGAGTTTAGCTGAGAAGGGGAAGAGAGGAAT